TGCGCTGAAGCTACGGGTAAGAAGTCATCCCCTCATCCATCCCCTCGACTCTTGTCTAGCTTGTCTAGCATAGACCCTCTGTCTCTGTCATAGTTGCTTTGTGTCCCCTATTCTCACGTACACACACACACACACACACACACACACACAACCACGCACTTGCTCAGCAGTATTGTTTTTGATGCTTGGCTAGCTCTTTCTTTCCTTCAGGAGTTTCAGAAGTTGCATATTTATCCACTCCCTGATTCCCCTCGCCTTGATTCACCTCAGAACAACTTTTCTCCAAGGCTTTTTCAGAATGAAGTTGTTTTGAGCAAATGCCAACATCATCCATTGTGTTGGTGCGTTAAAACAGTGCTCCTCAGCGGTTCAGTGCACTCTTTAAGAGGAGCGGGACACGGAGTCGTCCGAGACTTAGTGATTCATGTGGAGGCTCTTTGACCCGATGGCTTCCACCGTGAGGATGTTAGATTAAAAAACAGATGAATGGTAGAGGATGCAAAAAAAAGAAAGGCTATTGAAGCTTAGAAAGATTCAGAAGATTGTTTAAACTAATTATCTCAAACAGGAATAAAAGAAAAATGCCTTTTTGTCAGACCAAAGAATGATTTATACCCACCGCCGTAGCCCCAGAGTCACTTAGAGAGCACCAAAAAAGATGCAATTACGGGATTGTGCAGGGCACAGGGCTTTGTGGCTCCAGGGTTGTGTACCTCCGAATTGTTATACCATGAATAGTAGATAAATCAAAACAAAATGGATGGTTTGAGCTGAGGTACAAGTTTTCAAGCAAACAAAAGGTTCAATATATTCTGTTATGCTATTTTCGGTTTGTAAAACTGGTTGTAAAACGTAGGTATAAACTTTGTAATATTATAATTTATTTTGTATTAAGTAATCCTAAAATATGAATATTAAGTAAACAAAGGTTATTTAACATATACACAAAACAGAAGTCCTATTTGGGCTAAATACACAAAGAGGTCTGTTCAGTTTTGCCATTTATGTTGTGTCTATATTCATAGAGTCAGCTACAGTGACTATACATCTGGCTTTAGTGACATAGATGCCTAACAGCCTGACACTCCATTACACAACTTGGACGAACACACACACACACACACACACACACACACACACACACACACACACACACACACACACACACACACACACACACACACACACACACACACACAGCCTGGTTTGATTTGTTATCAGACAAAGCTCATTCACTGATCTAAGAATGAAAGGAAGTGTTTGATGGAGCTGAACATCCTTTATTTGTTTCCCTCAGAGTGTTGCTTGTCCCTTCCTGATCGACCCATCATCCCGGGCCACCGAGTGGCTGCGCACACACCTCAAAGAGCACAGGCTAGAGATCATCAACCAACAGGTATACACACACACACACACGCACACACATGCACCTCAAAAAGCACAGGCTGGAGATCATCAACAAACAGGTACACACACACAGACACACACACTTCAAAGAGCACAGGCTAGAGATCCTCAAACAACAGGTACACACACACATGCACGCACATACACACACACACACACGCACGCCTCAAAGAGCCCAGGGTAGAAGTCATTAGAGAGTAGAGTCTGTCTTGTTAGACAGTAGATTGATTGGGTTTCATGTCAGTTGGGAGCCATAAAGTAATTCAGACGTTTCCGTGTTTAGTTCTTGATTTATCTTCCCCTCTTAGCATCAGACCCAGTCCTCCATAATCCTTTACAACTCAAGACACAGACCAAGGAACTCTTTTTACTTGAGAAGTTCTCAAGTTCAAATCGAAATTGAACTAAATTAAATTAAACTCAACTAAATATACTTAAATCATAAAAAGGTTGATTACATTTTAAATGTGTAATATATGTATGTAAATATGTATATCTCAATTTTAATTTAACAGATGAACTGTGAAATTAAAAACATTTTTAATGATGGTAAGTGCACATTTGTTAATTGTTAACTAATATTTTGTTTGGGATTGTTGAAAACAGATCTTTTGTCGCTGCAGTCCCTTTTCTTAATTTGATTAATGCATATATTAAGTAACAGTTTGACGTCTAGTTTTAATTAATTTTTTATTTTGCTGGTGTATGTCAAGTCAAGTCAATTTTATTTGTATAGCCCTTAACCACAGTTACAGTCTCAAAGGGGTTTACAGGCCATATATATATGATACTCCCTAACCCAAGCCTCACAAAGGGCAAGAAAAAACTCCCTTAATTATCAGGAATACATCTTGAGAAGGAACTCAGAGTGGGGGGTCCCTCCTTCCAGGGATGGTTAGGGGTGCAATGGGTGCCATAATTGACATATATAGTAATAAGCATAAGAATAACTCATTGCATTTATATAGCACTTTTCAAGTTACCCAAAGCGCTTTACATAGTGTGACTATGTGTGTGTGTGTGGGGGGGGGTGGTTATGACACCTCCTCATTGTATTACAAGCAGACATTTAAGTACAAAGAATGTAAATGTATGTCTGTTGGTTACATGTATTTCTGTGTGTGTGTGTGTGTGTGCGTGTGCACATGTGTGTGTGTTCTTGTCAAAGGACACTAACTTCATGACGTCCCTGGAGCTGGCTGTGAGGTTTGGTAAAACCGTCATTATCCAGGAGATGGACGGAGTGGAACCTGTCCTCTACCCCTTGCTGAGGAGGGACCTCATTGCCCAGGGTACATATACACACACACACACACACATACACACACACACACACTATGTGTAAAATGATAACCTCAATGATAATATTGTGTATTACACAATATTGTATGCAGTCCACTTGCACACCGCTGCGACTGCAGCTGACCACACAGGAACCTATTTCCTTAGACAGAGTACTCCTACGAGCCTACTTCTTAGACCTCAGACACGTGGCCACCTGCTCCTCTGGGTCAATAGGTCCATATTTGTCTTGTTTATTGCCATTGTTCTCTGTGAATAAACAGCTTGGAGGTGCAAATGAATGAGAGGTGGAGGAGGAATATGAATGACAGAGAGATGAGCTGTACCTGCTGTTGAACCACTTAGTGACTTACTTACTTTGGGAACAGGAAGTGCACATTGATGCACCAAGCTCACTGTTTCCATAGCAACAAATAGGCCATGTTTGAGGGTGCGTGTGTGTGTGTGTGTGTGTGTGTGTGTGTGGGTGTTGTAGGAAGTAAGATTGTGTCATTAACTCATCAAAAGATGTATTAGTTGGACTAATTGCAGTATACTAATTACCGTATATTATGTAATATTATATTTAATGTGTTTAGTTTGTTTAGTTACTTCTTGTGTTCGCTAGTTGCTGGTAGTAATATAGAAACAGCTTTGTGTGTCTATCAATTTAACACATCATGCACACACATATCACACTCTAATTCGCACTCTAATTCATTAAGCGGCCTCACACACACACACACGCAGACAAAAATGCACACACACACACGCAGACACAAACGCACACGCACACACACACGTTATACCATTTCAATCCAGGTCTAGCGGTAGCTGAAATGGCAATCACCATTGTCCATGGTCACATGGTAATGCAATGATAATTACACGCCATACCCACTATGCATTACCCACTATTACTATAATCAAATGCCTCGGCGAATAGAGGTCATCCGGAGCAGTAATGTGTTCGGATGGCTGAAATACATCAAAATAACCCCATGATTCATATTCAGCGCCAAATGTGAATGATCTCCTTGGAGTGCTGATGAGCTAATTTCGTACTTGGATTCTTCTGGAATGCGTGTAACAGTCCAGCAGGGACTGGGACGGCGGTGTGTGCGTGCACATCATTCGTTAGCGGCTCCTGTCCGTTTCTCTCCTCTGCAAGATCCATCGTATTTCCATTTGTAAGCCCTAATTGGTCCGTTCCAACCACTGTAGCCCTAGTAGTGATGATTTACCTAAACATACTCCTTGCGAGATGCCGGTGAAAACCACTCGTCTCATGAGTCATCTATACACTATAACTTAAAGAACTTAAAAGTGAAAAGTCATCTAAACACTATACACTTCAAGTTCTCTGGGAAGAGTTGGTTGAGGAAGGAAGAGAGGAAGGAAGGAAGGAAGCAAGGAAGGAAGGACGGAAGGAAGGCAAGAGATAAAGTTCGCCTGTTGTAGGTGTTTTCCAAAGCGTGATGAGGGAGTCCTAGTAGTGCTGCATTGCAGACCTTACGGGTAGAGTGAGAGGGATAAAGAGGACACACGCACACACACATGCATACAAATAATAATAATACATTTTAATTTATAAGCTTTCAAGTCACTAAAGGACACTTTACAAGTCAATACATGAAAGAAAAATGATAGCAACAATGATAAAAAAACAACAAAGAACAACACCAATGAGACATATATACAGGTACAAAAATGAGCTATAATATACACATTACGAAGCAGCAGGAAAGGCTCATCTTAACAGGTTTTCCATATGTTCACACACCCTTAACCCTCGTCACCCCGTGCCCAGGTCCGAGGTACGTGGTCCAGATCGGAGACAAGGTGATCGATTACAACGAGGACTTCCGGCTCTTCCTGGCCACACGCAATCCCACCCCCTTCATTCCCCCCGATGCCGTCTCCGTGGTTACCGAGGTCAACTTCACCACCACCAGGGCCGGCCTTAGGGGACAGGTGACATACACGTGCACGCATGCACACACACAAACACACACACACACGTGTCACATGGACTGGTGAAAAGGCATAAATGAATGAGTCTTTATCTAAGCCATTAGTTATAGACTCTGTATTAATGTCTGTAGCTACAGCTATGGCAGCTGAGTTTATTTATCGGATGTACTCGATCCTGATATACATGCTCACGTGCACACACACACACACACGTCTCAATTCTCTTCTTCACAATATTCCCGTAAGTCGTTTTATAATAATAATATACGCCATTTGGTGGACGCTTTTATCCAAAGTGTCTTTACAATACCGTGAGTGCGTACATTCTTTAGCATGAGTGGTCCTAGTGGGAATCGAACCCCTAATCCTTGCAATGTTAATGCCATGCTGCTCTACCAGATGAGCTAGTCGGGACCACAGTCCGTTTTCTTGGAACATTATTGATCATTTTGTTTTTATTTGCTCCTCTGAAGCGTTGGCATTGCTCTGCCAATCAGTCTAAGCTGCCTGCGAAGATGGTGTGGAAACAAAGTTGAAGCGTCGCTTTATAAATACAAATAGAACGTAATCTCCTGCGCTGTGCCTAAGATAAGCTAGTGTTGTTTACCACATTGTTGTTGTCAGCACGTGGCTCTTCACAGGCATAATCCTTGGTCCCAGTCGTCCACTGTATCCCGGTGGTGCATGGTTTATGAAGCACTATTACCATGCTGCTGTTGTTGTGGTGTACTGTACTGACATACAAACATGCTTAGAAAATGGGTGACCCATTATTACAGTTTTATGTGTTTAGCTCATATCCCTAATGTGTGTGTGTGTGTGTGTGTGTGCGTGTGTCTGCGTGTATATGTATGTGCGTGTGTATGTGCGTGTGTGTGTGCGTGCGTATGTGTGCGTGTGCGCACGTGTGTATGCTAGCTGTTGGCCTTGACCATCCAGCAGGAGAAGCCAGAGTTGGAGACAGAGAAGACTCGGCTACTACAGCAAGAGGAGGACAAGAAGATACAGCTGGCTCTCCTGGAGGAGTCACTGCTAGAAGTAAACGCATTGTATTGTTGTTTTGTTTTCAACACTGGAAACTTTCAGAGGGAGAAGTTGAACGGAAGTGTTAATTTGAGAACGGATCGCTTCAAATGTGTACTTTTAACGTGATACAGTGTTGTTTTCCAATTTAAGCCTTTCAATTAAGCAAAGTCTGCAGCCCAATGATTAAACCTGTCAATCTCCAAAAATGCATGGAGCTCCCTGTACCTGTAAACATACACACACACACACACACACATACGTACAGTACAGTAAGTCAAACTTACAAAATGCTTGCACACACACACACATGCAAATGAGCACGCACACACACACACACGCACACACAACGACAAGATGTCTGCGCTTCCATGGTATTAGACGTCTAATTATTGTAGAATTATAGGAGCACAGCCTGACTGGATGTTTCTATGCTCCACTGCCTTCTCATCTATTCTACTTGAATTGATTTGAATACATTGAATCAATGTGTTTAAAAGTGTAGATGGAGCTGTGGAGCCACAGCGCACTGCTCAATGTACCCGCAGCATTCAGCAGATAGCGAACTTACCTGTTTGTCTATCCACATGTATGTGTGTCTGTACGTTTGATTTGATCGCTGTCTGTCTGTCTCCCTCTCTCAGACCTTGGCTACAGCTCAGGGGAACATTCTGGAGAACAGAGAGCTGATAGACAGCCTGAACCAGACCAAGGCCAGCAGTGCCTTGATCCAGGAGTCACTGCTGGAGTCACACAGGCTGCAAGCGTCCCTCGACCAGGTGAAACATCACAGATACAGATGCACGCACGCATGTACACACACATACACACACACAGACACACACACACACACCAACATCACAGATACACGCACCATCACAGACAGACAGACCCACACACACATACACACACAGACCCCCCCCCCCCCTCCCACACACACACACACACACACACACACACACACACACACACACACACACACACACACACACACACACACACACACACACATTCTGGATATTGCCTGACATTCTGAAACACACACATGCCACAGCCATCCTCTAAGGGGCAGTGTTTCTCTAGCACTGCATATTCTCCTCTGCCCTCTGCCCGGTTCATTTTCTAGCTTCTTCATACTTTTCTTTTTACCCTTCTCACAATTACACCCCTTTTTTCCACCACCTCATTCTCCCCAAATTACCACTCAACCTTTACATGCACCACTCTCAGTTCTGTCTCTGTCCTTCCTCTTTATTTCCTATGCTGCTTTTTTTTCATGATCACTTTTCATCCACATCCATCATTCCACTCTACTCATTCGGCTCCTTAATCTATCTTCGTCTCCTATTTGCCCCCCCCCCCCACTCCCCCCCACCCCCCTTGACAAACACACATGCACTCACGCACGTCAGCACGCATGCACGCATGCACGCATGCACGCACAACCACAATTCAATTTACCTCTTGGATCTTCCTCACAGGAGCGGGATGCCTACCTGCCTCTTGCGGAGAGCGCCAGCAAGATGTATTTTGTCATCACGGACCTGTCTAAAATCAACAACATGTACCGCTTCAGCCTGGCCGCCTTCCTGCGGCTCTTCCAGAAGGCCCTGCAGGACAAGAAGGTGATTGGATGAAAGGGCAATTAGGGCTCTCTTGATTGAGTCCCGCTGATTTCTCTTTTATGTCTCTCAAATTAAAAAAAAGGAATTGCTGTGACCGACCCATCAACCAGATGGGTATAAAGACAGATTCATATAAAGGGATCCATGCACACACACTCTCACACACACACACACACACACACACACACACACACACACACACACACACACACACACACACACACACACACACAGTTATACATGTTAGTATCACATAAAGTGTTTTCATTTGGCCATGAGAATGTCCCCACTTCTGACATGAAGGGTAACGTGACATGACATCACACCCTCACATACACACACACCACACACCGTTCCCTCAGCTCACTTTGCCTCATTCCATATAATTGTCACAGAGGTCTATGTTTCACCATTACCTGTTTTTGTCGTTTTGCTCTCCTGACCGCTTGATGTTTAAAATGGTTTCTCCAACAGAAGCCTTATTGTTCTCCTAAATAACACCAAAGAAAGTGTCAGCGGCAGCACCGCGTCGCACCCCCCCCCCCCCCCCTCCGATTATTTCCCTTTTTTTAAATCTTTGATATCGTATTGTTATTTGCTGAGGTTTAGTTTAGTCCCACTGTGCTTCGGTCTTCGGCTTGAGTGTAGCACATCGATGTGGTTTCATTGCCGAAGATAGACGGCATGGTGGGCTCTCTGCTATCATGCTGCAGTCTTCCATCGGAGGACTAAACATATAGAGCAGCACATGCGCAGATGTGCGTGCATACTGTACACACACACACGCACACACACTCAAAGCCTGCCTGTCTTCACCACCATGCGCATGTTTAATGTGTACTCACAAAAACCCAGGTCCAGTGGGCAACGTTAAGCCCATTTAGGGACACATCCCAATGAATGTGCATCAGTCTACAACTATTTTGCAGCATCGAGGATTTTCACACACACACAGACACACACACACAGTTTGATAGCGAGTGTGCGCTGTAATTCCTCAAATCCTGTGTGAGTTGTTTGAGCCAAGGGTGCCCTCCAAGAGTGTAGCCAGGCAGCAGCTGGTCTCTGGTGTTACTCCTTGTTTGGTTGTGTGTCTGTGTGTACGCGTGTGTAAACATTCTGTGCACATGTACACACATTCATGCATACACATCCCTTAGTTTTGAGCGTCTGTGTGTGTGTGCGTCAGTATTGGAGGTTCATGTGATGGGTGATGCGTGTTTCGGTCATCGTGTAGTGATGACTCATAAATGGTGGGTAATATACGTGCACGTAATGCCGCTGTGCCGTTATGAGCAGCCAGGTGTCTTTGCCATGGTTCGCAGATGGTCCTCTAATTCCGGGAAATAACGTGAGCCGTATGCCCCTAAACAGTCATGCACTCCAGAGTCCTTTTATGTGTTGGCTATGACACACACACACACACACACACACACACACACACACTCACTCACTCACTCACTCACTCACTCACTCACTCACTCACTCACTCACTCACACACTCACACACTCCACAGTTGTTTGGGAGGACATTTTGAATTTGGAGGCAGCTTGAAAACAGTCCCTCCGGGCTTGGGGCAGCCTGAAGGCAACAGAGAGCCAGGCAGGGGAAACAGAAGGACAGCCATTGAACTGAGAATAGAGGCCGTGTGTGTGTGTGTGTGTGTGTGTGGAGATGTCCTCGTGGAATTCCCTTCTGCAGCCTTTTCCCCCCTATAGTTTCTCTTTGATTTGATCTTTCTTTTCTCTCTCTCTCTCTCTCTCTCTCTCTCTCTCTCTCTCGCTTTATGTTTCTGTGTGTTTGTTGTAGGGACTCCTAATCTCAATGTATCATTCAGTGATGTCTCTATTCCACTCTCCCACAAACACACGCACACACCTCAAATATACTTCAAGAAGATTACTGTCTTCAAGCGCTGTGCTGCAGTTTCTGTTTTAGTCTGCCCGTGTCTATTGTGTACGTGTGTGTGTGTGTGTGTACTGTGAATAAAGGAGAACGTTAGGAAGATGTATGTCTCAACATTTGTGTATGTGACTGTATGGGTCCATTTTCTGTGCTCATGTATCGCATGTACCCGAGGCGGCACTGTTGTCCCTTACTCTGAGCCTCAGACTGATTTCTCCTCTCTCGCTGTGGAGATGGGAAGAATACTTTCAATCAGAGTAATGGGGGCTCATTCAGTCATGAAAGACATGACGAGTGCAGATGAATGAACACACAACAATCATTGTTCAGTGTTGAAACGCGGGGTCCTCCTCCTCCCCCGTGCCACCAGTCCGCCAATTCCATACTGGTCCCTGTTCATCTCCCAGTGAGCGGGATGGCGTTGGCTGCTCGACTTGAAAAGCCCCCCTTTGAAGACACTTCACCCCTCGCCCTGATGCTGTCTCACCTAGTCCTCCTGACACAAACCTTTCTTGTGTGTGTGCGTGTGTGTCTTAGGAAGCGCAGAGCACTGATGTCAGGATCGCTGCACTGGAAGCCAGCTTGAAGAGCATGGTGTACGAGTATGTCTGCCGCTCTCTGTTCAAGGTAAACCCACACTCTGACACACGCACGCACGCAGATACGCTTCTTTGTTCTTCAAAGTTTTACCATCAAGTTGAATTATATAGCTTATGACCGCTGCTGACATAGATGGTCCTGGGTTGTCCCAGGACCATCGTCACACCCATAGTATGAATGTTAGAGTGTCCCTGAAATAGGGCTGGGGCGATATGGAGAAAATTATTATCGCGATAATTATGGGGAATTTTACATGATATCG